GATATATAAACTTTATACGGTTTAGTCGTCTCTACTTTTATGAATTATTTTTTTTTTTGGTAGATTTGGTTTCTAAAAAACATACTATTATAATTATAATTATAGTTGTTTATGCTTCATAGTTTAAAGTACAATAAAACAATTATTTTGTCAACAATAGAGTAAATTGTAACTTGAAAGTAATTAAAAATAATGAGTTGTTTAGAATTTAATTAGTTTACAATTGACAGCGATAAGTGACTGGGTTAGGTTTATAACTATTTTGATATATTTAAAGAATTTCTCATCCTGTTTTTATTAAACAATATAACCACTAGTCCCTAGGCACTAACCAGTGACCACTAACCAGTACCTATTCGATATTCTCCTGCAGGCTAAATAGATGTAAAACAAATTATTCTTAATATTTTGTTTGCCAGATGATATAAAATAAATCAATTCAGTCAATTCAGAACTAATAAATATCTAAAAGTTAGTTTAAACTCTTTAACATTTTATAATATATGTTTGTTTCTACATTACTATTGTCCTTTCACTTATTGATGTAGTCCAAATCGAAAGTATTTGCGTGCACTTATAAGTTATATGCTCTTTGAATAACTGCCAGTTCATAGATATCTGTCATAAAATTACTCAATGTTTAAGATAAAAACAAGTTTTCTATTTATTGATCACGAAAAGATTGGGAATATTAATTGCTATACACGAGGTTATAATACACAAAAATTGAAGAATATACACAGTGAAGTCGATGTGCTTATTCATTATTCATTCGGTATTATTTACATTATATTTTAGTCTAAATAATAGTGTAGAATCAACATCATTGTAATATTAGGTAAACCTATATTGTATAATAATTTATTTTTGAAATCTATAATAATACAATCATGTAGATTGTAAATCACTTGAATACTTTAAATTGTTACTCAGATTAATCTGTTGAAAACGATATTCGTCCTTAAGTTTAATTCACCATATATACCTTGATGATTTGCTCATTATTAGATATATATACTAAAATGCACTAAATGATAATGATATAGTACTTCATATTTATGAATAGGAATTGTTTCTTATCAACATTTTACTTTCCACATTTCAGTCATTACATCTTTATATTTATTAAAATACAAATCAAAGTATAAAAATTGCTCTAAAATCTAATCTTATAAGTCAGTTAACACTCAGAATATATTATGATGTCGTTATTAACACAATTAGAGCTCTGATGTTGTTATAACTAAATTTAAAAAAAAAAGTGATGACCATTCATTACTATTATTGACTTTGTGATATTGTTTTTATTAAAGGATTCGATGAAATTAATACGAAATGATTATAATTATTCAAATAAGAAAAATTAATAACTCAGTTAATTATAATTCCAAATTTCAAATCAAACATTTTTTATTCAGTGCATATTTAGTCATTTTTTGATACATATATTATGCATGAATATTTGCATGTTTTTTTTGAAGCTTTAAGTCCCTAAACAAACCTAGTTATAACCTTTCCTAAATTTAATAACATTTAAGCTCTAGTTAGTAAATATTATAATTTAATATTGATGAGATAAAAAATGATCATACCATATTCCAACTACGAAATATTTTGTTCTTTCAACGGGTTTGTTTGATTTTAAAAGTATAATCATTTAACATAAGGTATGTTGAAGTTCAAGGTCCCCGAGGCCGTTGAACGCGAAGTTAAACCAAGCGCAAGTTTCTGAAATCAATGTTGTCTTTTTGCAGTGTTTAGAATTTAGAAATTTTATTTATTATAACTATTATTAATTTTATTCAAAGTTGAAAAAAAAATCACGAATCTAAATATAATAAAATATTCGAATAGGCATTTAAAAGAAAGTCAACAATATAGTATATCCATTCGTAATAATAATATGAACTATAATATATGTATATTGTATTATACTAGTATGTTTATAGGTATTATGCATATTATAGGCCACAAGTAAATAGTTGAAATAATCTCATTTAGAACTAAAATGTGCATTTTCACCTTAATTAAGTGATGTCTTTGTATATCTTCTCCTACCAAGTCATATGTTATTTTTCATTTAAAACTTATGATTATCCTACTACCTATCAAAGCTACTTAGTACATACTATATAACTTGTGTGTGTGTGTGTGTGAAGGATATTTATACTATTCAAATTGAAAATATATAATTAACAATCATCTTTGAAAGAAATTTAATATAAATAGGTAACTAAAATGACGTAACGTCTACCAAAATTACACACTTAAAAAAATCAACTTTTGAATTTTAGATTCTAAATTAAACGAAGAAAGTGTTGAGTTATTTTTTAGAATATATTTTGTAATTTTTCAAGGAAATTATTGTTTTATATATAAAACGTAGAAACTTGTATTTTCTTTAAAATCCTAGGTATAGTCATCTGATAAAAAGTGAAAAGTCCACAAATAGTATTTTTAGTCATTAATTTGATTTTAGTTTTAATTATGATTGATAAGCCAAAAAAAAGTTATATTTATATATATATATACATAAAACTATTGAGACATAAAATCAATTCTTATGATTAATTCATGAATGAAAAAATATACTTAACTTCATTATACTATTACCATTTACGAATTACGGAACCATAACTCTTCACGGAAAAAATCGTTTCAATTTTGTATACCAATGTAGAAACCGAACAATTTTTTTTATAATCAATAGGTTGGAATAATATTATAAAATGACTTAAGAAAAATTGTCCTGCTTTGAAATAATAGAATAAGAAACTTATTGAAACGGTATAATGTTTATGTGCTTTTTCATTAGGACTTACTTATAGTGCTTATGTAACATAAATGATTAGACAGTATACGTTTACTTAATGTTATTATTTATTTAACAATATATTGATAGTTATTTGACAATTTCTGTAGTCGATTAAAAAAATATTTTAGAAAATTAAATTATGTAAGGTTGTTTTAATTTATAAGTTATTATTTATTTGATAATATATTGATGAAGAAATCCATGACCGATCAGAAATATAATCAAAACGAAACAAAACAAAAAACAATGACAATTGTCAAAAAAAATATAATACGTTTTGATTTCGTATTCGTGTATTAAACTTTGGCTTAGCTATCATTGTACTATAACTTAGCAAGGTTGGCATAGGTACACTAAGAAATATTGATCATATACTTAGTTTCTATTTTTTTTAGTTAGTAGTTGCACATATTATGAGGACATTATCCCTTCTGACTTCTTAGGAAAATATATTCATCTATAATTTGTATAATTTATATCAGAATACACAAACACTGCTGGTCGATGATCATGAAAATGTACGCATGTAGGATAATAAATGGCAATTATAGATTAGTGTTAAGCCTTGAAGAAATTACCGGAATTTCTGAGTAAAATAAAATATATTTTAATTTTTAAATGAAACTTAAAATATATTTGTCGATCAAACGAGTGAAAAACTAAAATAAATATAAAATTGTTTTCCAAAATTATTGTTAGAACGATTTAAAATTATGTAAATGAAATATTTTTGAAAACGTTATTGTTTTCAGGATTAATGAGTGTCATATATTAAACGGATCACCCTATAAAAAAATATTAAAAAAACATTAGACAATTATGCAGAAAATGTATGAATGTCTAAGACCGAATAAAGAAAGTAACTCTAATTGGTAAAGTGACATCGAAATGATATGTTATTGTTTAATTAAACAGTGAGATTCTTCTAACAGGAAACACTCATTTCTAGACTTCTAGTTAATGCTTTTCGAGATAGGTAGTGAGTGTTAGACGTTAAAAGAATCACACAATATTGGAGTAAGAATAACTATTTTATTCCAGTCATAGTATTTACATAACTTTTAAACGTGTAAAAGCCAATACCTATATGTCTCGTAGTTAAATAAATATTTTCTATACAAAACAATTATCCAAACACGCCACTGCTATTTCATCGAATAGGTAGGGAAAATTCTATTACAATATATTGGTATTAGGTAGGGATATGAAAATATTCTTGGCATGCAAAAACATCTTTAGAGTATAGTATACCTTCTGTTGAACAATGTAAGAAATATTCAGTGCCGGGACATCACGAGAGAAAGTATTTTAAATAGTGCCCAGTTATTGATTGGCATTTTCATGTTTGTTATTATCATTTATATTTCGTAAACCGTTTGTCAAAAACAGGTGAGTATATTATCACTATCTTTTACACAAGGTATAGTCATTATTTTGTTTTAATTTGCTCATGCATTATACTGGTATTGGACTAAAAAATTATCTTAATGAAGAAACTATATTATAATATTGTATATTTATACGTAATTACTGATCGTCAACTGTTGTTTTACAAATTATCTTTGGTTCGGAAAAGAAAGAATTTTATTATATCTGTTTTTAATTAACATATTTATATTTTTATTAATTTTATTCTTCCTTTCGCGGTATTGGAATTTAGAACATTCAATCTTAAATAAAATATCTTCAAATGTTTTCAATGCAAAAATAACAAAACTATACAACATAATAAACAGGAAGACTTAACAAATATTTGGTAGTAAATATCCTTCTAAAATAATCTCGAAAAAAAAATTGACAGTGTTATTAAGCATTAGAAATAGATTTATTTAGTATTTGCACATTCTTATAATGTATTACGTACTTATATAATAATATATTTAATATTTATAGATGAACTATATTTACATCTTACTAGAATAAAATTATAAATTTAGTACAATGTATTACTAAATTTAGTCATACTCACTTACTTACACTGATTATATTTACACTTCTCATTAAGCTACAAAAATAATAGCACTGATTTATGCATACATAATTTATAAAAAATATTAAATTTGCTGGGCTTTTATATTGACAAATTGTTTTTGAGTATACTGAAGTATAAATACCCACATAATATGTTGTAAAAAGTTATGCGTATTACGACTATATATGAACGTGTATTTAAATATGTTTTTAGCGATGTCACCGACAAAAGCTTCTGACATTACTGTGGACGATGATTGTCAGAAAAAGCACGCGGCCACAGATGACTGGTTTACATGCCACGAGCCTTGTACATTACCGAAGCATATTCAAGAATTGGCTTTGATTGAATTACGGGAAAATGAAAGTGCTCGTAATCAAGCTATTTCGGCTTTCCGACAGTGGATATCAAAAAATGCGGATGTTCAAAACGTAAATACTGGTATGGTAAATAATTATATTTTAAACTATTATTACGATATTCGATCAAAAACTTGAACTTAATCTTAATCATTCTATTTGGTATAACCTACAGTGAACTTTATACATTTTTATTTAAAAAATATTGTATTTTAATGGTTTATAAGTTTATAACTAATAACTATCTAGATCTTACTAGTAAATCTGACTGTTTTAAAGTGTACAGACAGAGTAGGTATATCTAGAGATACCAATATAAGTAAATATAGTAATATTAGTAGCGAAGACTATTATAAATGATAATATTTAGATAAACGAAATAAAAATAATATATTTTAACTAATTTGACTGAATAAAAACTTGAAAAATTAATTTCTTTTACGATGATTCCTTAAAGTTATGACAAATATGAAATAAATAATGAACTACTTACCTACAGTGCATTTCCCACACGCGTTGCACGTAATAGGTAAATAACATACTCGATACGGTTTTATGAACGGTATCGGCCCGGATTTTCACAATAGTTAAATTATTTATTTCATACCAAAAATTATTATTCTAATGAGTTTTTATATTTTGTTTATATTTTGTCCAAAATCACTTGCTTCTAACTTTGCTACAGTCAAAAAATTTAAAACAGGTTCTTCATTTTTCTAATACATTCAAATATATACTAATGACAAAATATGTAAAATAAAACTGTTATACTGATCTAAAACATAATTATAGATCACTCATGCTGCCTTTCTAAAAAAATATTCAAAAAACTAGAAGTCCTCAGTTACAGTTATTATCTATAATATGGTAATTTTAAATTTGTATGACTTATATTATCATGGTTTTGGGTCATATACTAATATGCATGTAATGATTTTTTCGCATACGTCCATTTCTAATGTAATTCCGTAATATGCATATACTTTAAACTAGAGTCACTATTAGTTAGGTAGAATACTAAAATATTTATTTCAATATTTTTTTGTACTTATGGTGATTTATTTAAAATATTATGATTAATATTTCAGATGAAAATTTTTTATTACGATTCTTGCGTGTTAAAAAATTTAGTTTACCGATGGCTCAACAAATGCTGCTTAAATATTTGAATCTTCGACAAAAATTCCCAATGTACTTCATGGGCCTAGACTGTTTAATTCCATCAATCAACGAACTCATTGACTCCGGATACATGTTTGTATCACCTTTTAGGGATAACCACGGTCGTCGAGTTATTATCGGTACTGCCAGTAAGTAAAACAATAGAATATAAAAAATTATCAATTATGTTACGTATTATGTATTTATAATTATGCACTTACATTGTGGTATTGAATATAGGTATAATACTAGGTATAAGGAATAAATAAAATTAAACTTATATATTTCGTAAAAGTATAGGTGCTACTTAGAGCTAGTCAGAACTTAACTTATTTAACAGGGAAATTACAAAAAAATATTCCAGAATTTCCGTTTTTAGGCAAGTTTTGATAGATGTCACAATTAGAATAAATGCTTGGACTTCGTTTCGAAGTTATAGCCGTTCAAAATCTATAATGTACCACGGTGATCATACGTCCTGTCGGTGCTTGGTGCACTGACACTTGTAGATAAGAGATAACACAATCAATAGTATATGAAATCGGATTCACAGCTTGGTAAGTGCCCGTTGGTGTGAATTTTATCATATTTTGATTGGATATTGCAATCGTTCAAGTTTAATTCACTAACAATGATCTACTGGAAGTTTCCAGAGTTGGGCCAAGCTTAACTTTTGGACACTACACAACACTATGTATAGTATATATATATGACAATTTATCATTAATTATTTTTATTTTTTATTTGGTTTATATTTTGACTGTGGTATTAAAGCGGAAGGCAAGGGGGCGGGGTAGGGGAGGGAACTATACATTATATTAATTTTAATGATCAAATAGTGTATGTTAAAAAGTTAGCCACTCCTCCCTCCGCACATTACAAAATAATTTGATGCCATTGTGTGATAATACATTGTGTGACCTATGCCAGGTTACATAAATATAATCAATAAACATTTAACGAATCAATATGTTGAGCTTTAATGGTCTCTTAAACATGATTTAGTGGCTTATGATTGGGGTCCATTAAGGTCAAAGTTCAAAGTTGTATTGCACTTTTAAAATATTAAACTAATCGATTGGCCATGCAACTATTGTGATAACTTAACGTGTAGGTAACATCGCAATTTAAGTATGACTAGCAATCGCTTCTTACGCCTACTGACGCTGGTCTCAGGAGGTTCTAAAATCGTAACATAATACAAGTTAAAATACACGCCTACCATATCTGGCCGCTCGGTATTATATTGGTTGTCGTGTTTACGTAATTACTGATTCAATTTTATAATGCAATTGGTTTTGTGTGGTATACTGATTTAACACGATACGTCTATACTACTATAGAATATAGGTACATCATTTATTTTTAATAAGATAACTATTTTTTTTTTTTTTTGTATAAATAAAATGTAACCTTATCTGTATACATTATAATGTAGTATCTATTTTTATTGTTTCAAACCATTTTACTCAATTTAACACAAAAATCATAATTTTTCAATTATTTCTAAGTTTGTATACGATATATTTATAGAGTATCGAACAATTAAAACGTTAACTTAAAAATAAATAGTTACCTATATTATGATTGTATGATGATAAATTATTACAAAGATTATGTACCGACTACCGAGTGACCATGTGATATTATTCACTGTTCAGTGTCCACACACATAGGGTTTTTGAACTCGAATTATATGCGCCCACCACGTGTCCACGTCCTATCCTAATAGTGAACCATAAATAAAATATATTGTAGTGTAAGTACACTACAATATATTTTATTTTTTTTTATTTTTTTCTTACATTTTATTTTATTTTATTTACAGAAGGCTTCGATCTTCGAAAATATAGCAATAGAGACTTGGGCATTGTGCATATAATTACCTATGAGACATTACTAAATGATGAAGTCAATCAGGTCGTGGGATTCACCCACTTTGGTGATTTATATTCCATCACTCCAGCGTATATAACCCTGTTTGCTCCAAATGAATTCGCCACTCTCATCAAGTGGGGAGAGGTAAACATTACAGATTTAAATAGTTTTATAATTTGCTTTTTGTGTATTTTTCATATGGTTACAGTCTTATTCAAATTAATATGCCCGCGCGGTATATTATTTTAATTATTTACTTATACTTTTAAATTTTTTATGTTTAGGTACTTAAAAACCCGTGTAACAACTCATACAGTTATACACTATGTATAAAATGTGTTTAATTTAAGTAATAAACAAGCATATAATATAATAATTATTAATTTTATAATCATTTAATCTTGTTTATGAACACATTACATCCTATATATACTGAGCTGAATTGCATTAAATCATTATCGAATGCAATTATATATTTATCGTTACATTCATATTTAAAATAATAATACAATACTGATTATTGACACACCGTCAAGTGTTTTTGTTCGATCTTCTTAAATAAAATCATCATAATATGTGAACATCTTATTATTAATCATACATATATATTATTATTTATTATTTATTCATATTGGTACCTAAAAATAAAAATAAAACTGTGGCTTGGTAAGGTGCGGTCGTATACTCAATCTATGACAACACTTTGAGCGTACTTACCGGCCGTCGTTGATAGCACTCGGATGGGTGACCACCCAGGTTTTTAGCAACACATCCTTGCCACACATGCACGTATTTCAAATCAATCTTTTCCCCCTGCAAACAGCTAATGGCCATAGTAGTTACCGGAATTTCAATCAATAAAAAAAAATAAAAATAATAAATACAACATTAAAGTATAGTTATATAATATTGTTCATATTCATTAATATTTTTATAGGATAGTATGTTAAAATATTAATAACACATTTATGAAATACATTTTTTTAATTTAACTTTTTACCTATAAAAATTGTTATCTATATCAAAAAGTAAATCGTTCTTTTTTTGTTTTAGCAATCAATTCCTATGAGGCACAAAGCAATACACCTGTTGAACGTGCCATTACCGATCAAGTTTGCTTATGATTATTTCCAAACAAGAATAAGCCCAAAACTCAATGGACGAATGAAGGTATATCACTAATAAAAATTCGTGTTTGATATTTGATTTTTGCATTTTTACAGTATTTGATCTCATTAAAAGGTAGATCAAAGCACACCCTAAATCTCACATCGCTATCACAATGACATAATGTTCAATAAAATAATAATTTGGGCAAAAACAAAACTTTAGTACGGCAGAAAAATAAAGCTTAGTAAAACCATAGGCTTAAGTAGGCCAAATTGTTGTAAGTGACTAAGGAAAACATTGGACGCAGCACCTCACATCTCACCCCCCCCCCCCCAAATATTGCAATTATTGCAGATCATATTGTTCTCAGCTCACCACATTTTCTACGAAAAACACGAAAATTCTTACCGACCGTATTTCTATACCACACAAATACCTACAGATTTAAATAATAATTGCAAATTGCACATTATTTTTTTTCAAATTTAAAATAATTGATAAAAAATTGACATTTAGAAAGAATATATTAGTTTGTAGATGGGTCTAAGTACCCTCAATAGTCAAAAACAGGGGGAACTGGTTTATATCTGTACCAATGATATTAACATATTTTTCATTGTACGAGTAAATGCTGCCTCTTAAAAAATGGTCTAATAGTTGTTAAAAACATTTTAGATGCACAGTTCACTTTCCGAGTTACACGAGACGCTCGATAAGAAAGTTTTACCCAAAGAGTATGGCGGTGAAATGCCAATGGCCGAAATGATCAGTAATTATTTATTTAGCTTTATATTATAAATACCTATATACTATTATATTGCTATCTGTAAATAATATACATACATTTGCTAATTTTGAATTTCAATTTTTTGCTTAGGATTATGGAAAAAAGAATTACTGGCGAATAGAGAAAAGTTAATAGCGTTAGACAATATGCGGTTATTATCAGATAAAAACATTATAACAAGAAAAACGAAAGCTGAAATTAATCATAATTTGATCACTGGATTCAATCAGCTAAATGGCAGTTTCCGAAAACTGGAAGTTGACTAACTATATAACTTATCAGTAATTATACTAATTACATTATATACTGTAAATAAGTAATACATCTGTAATTCGGATTGTAAAAACATTTTTAGTTTTTTTTCATTCATTTTTGTTCAAATTTTCATCATGTAAATTCTTCATTATTATAATATGTTCTTATTTTTAAATACTCTCATAATTTTATTTTCATTTTATATAATAATTATCGTTACCTTATATTTGTTCATACAATTTTTGTAATATTTTTCGACTTGTAAAGTAGATAAGTACTTATTTTAATAACGTTCGAGTTAATATTTGCTTAAATTAGCATACTATAATATTTTACTTGACAAATCTAAAATATCTGATTAAATATTTATTATCATAATACTGCAGTACAAATATTATATTTATTTTTTATATACATTTAATTAAGTATTTCTAAAAATATGAATACTTAAAAAAAAAATAATTTAATGTAATTAAGAATTGACTATTAAGATATAAATGTATCAGAATAATTATTAAAGAAAGTATTAATACTTTTTTTATAATATGTACCCAATCTAATATAGTAATATCTATAGTGTTTTATGTACAAAGAACTTGATTTTTAGGTGAATAATTCTATTTACTTTTTATGTACCCGGTATCTAATATATCTTATAGCCTGAAAGTATTAGGTGATTGTTGTGTTTCATTAAATCGGATGGTGGCTATTCGCGTCCAGCAGTAAAAATGTCTTCCTAATTATTGGTGCACGAGATTTCTTGAGATACATACTAATTGTGTCGCAGTTTTTTTAGCATACATACAAATTGTAGCCCAGATTTTTTATAGGTGCATACTAGTTAAAAAGAAAAAAAATTGTAAATATATTTTTTAATTGTATGCTATATTTTTTTTTAATGTGTCTTGTTTTACCAGATTATGTCATATTGTGGCATATTATGGCTCAGGTAAATACTTATTTGAAATTTGTTTACATACATTTGAACTTGTTAATTTAGTTTCGTTCAAATAATTGTGTGTTTAAAACCCTATATGTTCAGGATTCCCAACAATTTTTAACTCTAGAGCCTATCGCTATTAAAAAAAAAAAGGTTTGTAAAGAAGTAGGTACCTAATTTAATTACACTTAATTAGAGAATCTTTTGAGTATTCATATTATATTTAAAAAAAATCATATTCGTTTTTACCAATATTCTATTTATATACGGATAAAAATAATAAAATATTTGATTAAGTTATGCAATGTAATGTAGACTCAAAAAAGTTAGCCTCTATTTCAAAGGATATTTAATTCATTTATATACTATTACAAAATTAATGCTTTAAATAATTTATTTTAATATTTGTCAGACTATATAGACTGATCTAGTTTTTGCCAAACTATTGAAAATACTCGTATTATATGGTAATTATTAGTATATTTTATTTTAATAAGAGCGGTTTCCAGAAATTTTGCTCCCCCGGTAATTTACCTATACTTATAAACACAGCATGAATATCGGGAATCAGGATGAACTGAATTTCACTTCAAAATAATTATAGTAGTAATATTACATTCTTTAATAAGTACCTAAAGACAGATAAAATAATAAATCTTATTTCATCAAAATGTATACTAGCCACTAGGTATAAAAATATCTATAAAAAATTGTGCACATTATACATTTTTAAAAGTTGAATGTCCAGCTTTCAATCAAAACAACTCCTTCCATTCACAAAATTCAAATTCACATCGACAATAAATTATTAATTATCCTCTCATTTTCCTATACTAATCACTGTCACTAAAACTAAGCATGCAAAATTACTAAGTCATAAGTAACCATAGCTCTGTGGTCTGTCTCCAACAAAACTCTTCATTCTAATGCATTGTATACAGTGGAAACCTAGCTCTACGCAAGCTATATAATTATGGACGGTATTCCACATTTGCTTCGAGTGCTGTATAAATTCGGTAACCGTGATCCATATTATCGGTTATCGAGATGGTTTCCGTCTTCCAGTTGGTCAGCCAACCTAGAGAAAACGCTTTAGTCGTGGGCCATTTTCTTAGCGTGAAGATCGATTCTCGCTCAAAACATTCCGTTATTTTTGCGTCGATGTCCGCAAGTGGTGTCTGATACTCTGATGTGTCACTTGTAATGCTGGTGAGATCTGATTATACTGAGTTTCTTTACATACAGATATATGCACTGACTCATAAAAGGGAAATCTGGAGCCCACAGCCCCCATACAAAATATTAAACCGGGCTCAGCCCCCGGAGGTCAACAGACCAACTCATTAAGTACAAGTTCAGCCCCTAAAACATTTCAAGAATCTGATAATAATAGTGCTATAATGCTGCTATACGATGTAGTGCTAACAAATTCAAAAGATGCGTCGACCTTTTCATGGCCGGTCGTCGTCTGTTTTAGTACCTACCATATATTAAAATACGGTATATATTCTATAATAAACAACATAAATGCTGAATGGTACAATTGTAATAACATAAAAAATAAGATAAATGTAAAAATACTCTCGTCAATATTAAAATCGGATGTTGAAGAACCTGTATGATTCACCACATTTATAAATGCTGGAGAATAATATCAGATGCTAAAATCACTCTATTACCTTCCTCTGGGTGTTCAAAGGGCTATTGAGTTAGTGTATTTGATAATTTGATCAAATATAACGTACAATATGATTATATATGTAAAATTAGTATACAACTTAATATCTGCAGTCATATGTTATATTGAATGCCTTACTATCTGACTCGCGGCTACTTATGGACTATGCTGTTGGAGTATTAAGTGATTCAAAATAATTAGGTACTTAAAATACGCAAGTCGAAATAATAAAACACACTGATTACTGCTTATTAAAAGAGGTCCAGTTTCCACTTGCAGAATTCGGTATTGAATTGTTGTTGCTGTGTTGGGCGGTACTAAAGAGACGACACTGACAGGTTGACCAGAGAGTAGCAGGCTGCTTTATTAAAAGGTTTTCTGCGCATCCGGGAACTAGTTTTCTCTTCGGTGACATAGACCTTTTATAACCATCCCTATTCTTTGGCGAAATATAAGAAAGCAATAACCGCGCTAATGCGCTATACACATGTTCATTTTGATTTTCAGATTTTGTACAACCAAGAAATAGCGCTGTTCTTCAACATCGATTTCACGGTTTCCATAACCCACAAGCCATGTATGTCTTGTCGGTACTCAATCTGTCTACAATTATGTTATCTTGAAAAAATAATTAAACAAACTCATTGTTAACAACTTATTATTAATGCCTAGTTGTGTATAAAAAGGGGGTAAGTATAGGTAACTACTCGGTTTCAGTACGGTGGGTGTCGAGTTTCGAGGTTTTTGCAGTTCACATTTATTTATACCTTGAATTTACTATTAATTGTAGAATAGTATACATATGGAATGTATAGATTTTCAACAAAAAACAATTATAAGAATATAATACATTTTAAAGACATTGTACTGTAGCTCTGATAATATTTTCAAGGTTTTGGACTTATGGAGGCTTCGGTTTTTTTATCTGATTTGATCGGGTGTACTTTAAATGAGTTAGAAAAAAGAGAATTAAAAACTATTGGAATGCAATATGGGAAGAACCGTGTGTACCCGTTGAACTTATCCCTGAAATCTGAACATACTTAAAACTACCCATTTTTAACGTCTGTTCTAGTCTTTAAAATCGTATAATAATACGTTGGAGTAATAGTAGTATACATGTTTATACATACACGCAGCACCAGTCATCTCGTCGGGTCATAAAACAGCTATTATAATATTAAGGAAGCGTGCAGCCGTGCAGGTCGCGATGCGCGACTATGAATATTAATAATGATATTCTATACTAGGTATGAACCGACGAATTCGTTTGACTTCCTACAACTGCCCAGTGCCCACCCACAATTATTCGTAAAATATATGGTGTCCGATTATATGCACTGCCGCAGGTGTAAAGATCGTACCAGCATATATTATTCTTTATACCTATAATAATATTTATGTTATCCTATTCATTGGCGCAATTCCATTAAATTTCAGCAGGTACAAAACTTTCATTGGTTCAATAATCATAAAGACATATTATTAAATCGTGTATTCAAATCTGATTGCATCGTTCACGTAAACTATCTTTTTCATTTAATTACATATGCATACTACAATAATTATTCTCAACATAATCTATCTGTATATTTTAAACATTAGTTAATACAGTAATACACTATACTACTGTAGTACCTGTATGAATAATATACAAATACAATATTTTATTTCATTAAAATGTAGTCGCTAGTTTATAATAATAGTGTACCTATAATATTAACAAGTATGCGATAGTATTATATCATTACATGCGGTCATTTTATTATCTGTTCAGTTGTGTAAAAATTCAAGAGAACAATGAAACAGTAATACAGTATTATGATGTATTAGAAATGATTGGTTAGAAATGTGGTCTCGAACTGAACATTTAAGAATTTCAGATCAAAATCGAGCCAAGCCCGTGTCACACAATTCATTTAATATACCGAACTGAGTTTTTTAAATGTTTTTTTAATTAAATGTCGTATAAAACGTATGTATAATTTTTTTGTAGTTTGTACATTTCTTTAGAGTCTGAATTATTGTGGAGTTTGGATTAATTAGAGAATTTTGAACTTTTTATTTGAGATCGATTTTCGAACTTTGAACACTTTGACGTACTTGAGATTTATTAGGATTAAAATTCAGTAGTTTTAAATGCATTTTATCGCATCTGCTATATAAAACTAGTGGTAACAAGTGCATCGCCATGTCTCCCCCCTCCATAATTGTATCAAAATTCTGGATTCATATTTTATCGTGTTGGCGGAAGATGGTATATTCGCGTATATTGCACACGCTGTCATCGACCATCGTAATGCGCTAAATTATTGGATATAAGATTACGACGATTGCACATGTGATAAAATATTATCTCATAATATCTGAATTGGGTTTGTATTCGGTTAGTGTACAGCAACTGTATAAGAATCTTAGGTATGCTGAACGGCAGAATACGCATATTGATTGTCGGAGGAGGCAGTGTGCCATTTAACCAAAAACTCTCTATTGTAGTGATCAATCTTCATATACACTTCAAATATGAAATAGAAGTATAAAGAACCCATATGACACCATATTTTGTAAAAATCTCAATCATATGGCACGTATATATATTTTGCATAAGTACGGTCGGTGGACGGGGGTTTGTTTCAACAACCAAAACATACCCCTGGTTACTCCACTGCAGTGTAGGTATGTATTATTAATTATTATATTTTCCAAATAATATATTGTTAAAAAGCTAAACAATATTTAACTGTGATTTTCAAACGACCG